AGTAGCAGCCCTCATGCACTAGTGCACTGACCTGGAGGCCCTGTGGCTGCTCCAGGAGCTGGCCTGGCAATCTATGCAGAGTTCCCCTGTGGGCCCAGAGGGACCCCCACCCCAGCCCCTGTAAGGCCACAGCTTGGCCCTCATAAGTCACACCTGAGCCCAGACTCTGGGCCCCTGATGACTCCAAAGTCAATCAGCCTTCCTCCAGGCCCTCTCCTTTAAATCCTAACAAGGGCAGAAGCAGCTGACCAAGGGAACCAGGTTTGGAATTGAGTCCCCGGCTCCCACTGATTGGTGACGTTACCCCAGGTATGGAACCCTAAAAATGCCCTGAAATTAAGGAGGTGGGCAGAGCCGATAAAGCAAAATGCCTCTGTGGGTTCGCAGGCCCTGCCCTCAGTGGGCCCTGCCCCATTCACCAGACCCCAAGGAAAATGTCAGATGAGGTCCGTGCCCACATCGCAGACTCTGACCCCAGGGCCCAGCAGAAGCCATCACCTTGTCACTCCCGTTTAAGACCCTGAAGGGGGCGTCCACCATTGGCCTGAACTCCACCAGGGCTGGAGAGTAACTATGAGGCTGCCCCCTGCCGGTCGCCGAGTGACTACCATGCTCCACCTGTCAGCAGTCATGTTCCCCACAGAGAGGCTGGGTAACTGCTCACAGCCTGCACAGCTGTTCAGCCACGGGGAGACTCCGAGTCATTCTAGACCACCAGACGGGGCCACAGGCTTCAATCTGCCTTCCTCAGACGGGCTGACTTCTCAAACACAGGCTTCTGCCACCAGCACCCTCAGCTGCCTGGTCTGCCAGCCTCGCCCCAAGGGCAGCAAGGCCTCGGGGCCCCCAGCTCCCTGCCAGGCTGCGTCCACGGGCTCCATTAGCCAGGGAGGTGTGGGGAAAGGAGAGGGGGCAGCTGGTGCCCCTTCCCTCCCTGTGAGGAGACAAACTCGGAACATCTGAGCCATCATGAAGATGACAGAGCCTCATGCTAACCTGGCAGAGCGCAGATGAGGGCAGCCAAGGGTCACTTACCCACGGGATGGAAAAACCCTGTCCCCCATATGACACAGCATCAGTCGGTCTATTAAATCCCCGTGGAGGCCCCCAGGTCTGTGCCAGGCCTGGATTGGATGCTGGGCTTACAGGACAATGTGCCCTGTGCCAGGGAACTCAAGTCGGAGCAGCCACATCCAAAAACACAATGGTGAGCAACCCAGGTGGCCGTCGACAGATGACTGGATGGACATAGTATGGTCTATCTGTGCATCGGAACACTATTCAGCCTCAAAAAGGA